TATACAACATGCACATAAAATGATTATGACGATTATGCTGGAGCTTCAGCAACTGCTTTTTATTTGTGGGGGATGTTTCATACATGCGAACGGTCACATGAGCACCCATTACATACAGCCCTGGTCACACTTAATGATATTCTTTTTATTTTCTTGTTAATATCTACATACATTTCCAAAAAACATTCTCAGAACTCAAAGTACCCAGAAAATATATAATATCCTTTGAATAGTATATATAAAATTCAATTACACTTTAGAATAGTCAATATATGAACAATAAAAAATATATTAAATACATTAAACAATTATTACTTTACAGTACACATTAAACAAATAGAATACACTAAACAAATATTAGTTTACGAAGCTTGGTTATTAATAACACACAGCTTAATATTATTTATTAGGTTTTTTTTTTGCAAAAAATATGAATAATGCTTCCAATTTTTGTAAAATTTAAAAATCACAGAAACAATCCTAAAAATATTTTAAGTTATATAGGGAAACTTAAGCTTATCATTTCCTGTTTATGTGTTAGCTCATTTTAGTTAATCCTGTCAATTTTTATATTTTTTTTCTAAAACTAATGGCTTGTCCACTGCTGTAGGAATCCCCACTTGCTTGCTCCAACATTTATTGACACAATTGCGTTTTGAGAACGGCATTTGGCAGCTCCCCCCGTTTTCTTTTTATTAAAGCAATAATAAAATATTCATAAAGATTTCGTTTATGCAACGATAACAAGGCATATTTTTAGAATAAAGGCATTAAATAGGTTTGTGGCGTCGCCCCCGCACAATCGATGGCGATCCCTGCTTTATTAGCCCGCCTGAGTTATTTGCGGTCGGGGTTTATGCCTCCTTTAAACTGTGTTTTGGGGCTCAATCAATTCCCGGGCAAGCTGTGCGCCACACAATCATGTCAAGAATTCAATATCAAAGCGCGGGCGCAGCTGTCGCTGATGACATTGGGGAATGTCCACGATTTCATCAACCCCCGCCTTTTCTTTCAATGCCATTGATGAACAGGCTTTGAGCGAGTGGGTGGTTGGGTTTTAGGGGGTTGGGGTGCCTGGGTGGAAAGCATCGCATTTTGATTACAAATATGAAACATGTTCACACAAATATGACCTGCCCTTCAGTTCCCACCACACACTCCCAGCTCCTCAATGGCGTGTGTATGGAGTGCACTTAATGGCGTTCCGCATTTGCCGGAAAGGGGGTGGAAAGTCAAGTTAATATTGAGCCAACTTGAGTCAATTTTGACTGAGTGGGCCAAAATACACAGAGAGAAAAATTATCAAACCCCATTTAATAAAATAAATGTTTAAATAGACTAGGGAAATTATAGATACATCGACATTTTTTAAACATTATTATGGTTGCAGTTGATAATGAACGAAACCCTTAAAAAATAAAATGATGATGACATTAATAAAGCGATATATAGATCATTACATTTTTTGTACTTCTTAGCCATCTTGAAAATGTGATAGTTTATATATTAAATATTATTATAACAAGAAAAGGGTTTATTTTAAAAAAAGAAGTGGTTCTTTATACATTTTGTAAAACTTGTTATTATCATCCTAGAGGTTTTGGAAAACCATAGTACTCTTCTTTCTGTATTCATATACAGAAGAATAGTGTTTTTATTACAGTAAGCTTAGCTTAAAACATAGTTTTTTATGTTATTAAATAACTTGAATAGCTTTAAGCATTTTAGACTTGATATATTTAAATCATATTAAATTCTAATCAGTTTTTATCAGTGCAGCCGCACATTCGCTGAGATGGCAACACTCGGGAAAATTGCAAATAGACAAGATCTTAGGCCATTAGCTTTAATTGCCAAAGTTCTGGGGCAACAGCAACTGCAATTGCCGTGGCAGCTGCAACTGCAACAAATTGCGTGGCTATCAATATTTCCGTGGCTGCATTTGATTTCCTAATGCATCCGCAGCGAGAGGCAGGTTCAAAGCTGACTGGCAGGCGTAGGGAGGGCTCCTTCACCTCCGCCATTCTGCAACCATCGTCCCTGTCAACGATTAACAATATCCGCTCGCCTGCCCCGGCAGGAGGTCACCCGCTGGCCTGGTTGGGAGCTTGGTTTAATTAGTCCTGCCCGTACGTATTTTCTATTGGCCAATTCACCGCAGAAGCTTCATTACCGGACTGCCGTGTGTGTCTCTTTCGCTTTGTGCGTGTGTATTTCTGCAGGACAGATTGCGAGTCATTAAGTTGATGCAGCAGCAGTAGCAGTAGCAGCTGCAGCAGCAGAAGCAACATCGGTGTAAGCCACACAAACAGGCAGTTAGAATGCCACATGCCACGCCCACAACAGCGGTCGAGCGTTGTCGAGGGGCTGGTGGCAGCTGTAACTGAATCGGAATCAATATCAGCACCAGAATCACATTCCGAATCCGTAGCCGAGCCCGGATCAGAGCAGAAAACGAAACAGAAACATGTCGAGAGTTAACCTTTGTTGGCGGTTTCAGCTTTTTGTGCGCCGGAAACGGCAGAGCAACTCAATCAGTTTTTGCGGTTTATGGTGGCCTGGCCAAAAGGGACACGCTAATGGCTCACAAATGGCACTTGAATAATTGAATGCCGGAAACGGAGGAGAAATGAAGCGCGCAGTATTACCCAGCAATGCCTGCACATGACATTGTCCTTTTTATACACGTAATACATGTAAGCAAATTGCACACTTTAACTACAAATTAACTACGAGTCGTACTAACTAATCTCAGGTTCTAAAGCGAAGCGTCCTTTTTGGCCTCACTGCCAGAAGCCTTATCAACTGGGTCCGAATGCGGTTTTTCTTTGTCCTGCTGATCGCTTTTCTGGCCGGCGTTCAGCTTCTCCTTTTCACTGGTAATGAGCTGCTGCAGCTCATCCTCCCAGCCCAGAGCTTTGGCCAGAGCCAGGACACCTGCATCGCAGTCCCCCAAGTAGGCCACATCCCTCGTGTTGTTGGGCCTGTCGAAAAGCAGCGACCTCTCATGGGGATCCATCCAGGGCACGAAGCTGGCCTGACCCACTGCATCGCGATTGATCAGCAGGCGCAGGCAACGTGGTCCTGGTCTTTGGACTAGAGAAGCAAACGGTTGCACCTCCAGCGAGGTGCCCATAATAATCAGAAGATCGCAGTCCTGGAAATCCTCATCGGGACTAGTGTAAAACCTCTCCGGCAAGTTCTCGCCAAAGAAGACAATGTCCGGCTTGACAACGCCCTTGCAATGCTTGCACTTGGGCAGACGATCGGCAAAGATCTCCGCCTTCATCCAGGCCATGTCGTACTCCTTGCGGCACTTTATGCAATGGTTGGTGTGGAAGCTGCCGTGTGCCTCGATGATCTTGTCCTCGGGCAGTCCCGTCAGACGGTCCAAGGTGTCTATGTTCTGTGTGTAGTGTCGCTGCAGCAGACCCTTGTCGTGCAGCAAACGGACGAAGTAGTGGGCCGGCGTGGGAATAAAGGAGCCCGGGTACAGCTCCTTCGCGAGGGCAAAGAACGGTGCCGGGTTCTTCTCAAAATAATCCAGATCGAAAATGGCCGTAGGATGGGGGAGCTTGTACTTCTTCAGGTTGCTATATAGCCCGGAACCCGGCGACCGAAAGTCCGGGATGCCAGCAGCTAAAAGTTAGGTACTTAGTAGATCTCCTAGAGGGATGATAAGGTATACCCACATGTGGATATGCCGGCTCCCACCATGGTCACAATCTTCCTGAAGCCATGCTCTCGCCAATGCTCGGAAAAACCCTCGAACGACAAGTCTGGTATTACCTGGTTATAAGATAATATGCGGTTTAATTAAGATGATAATTGAATTATCAGGCGCTCCTCTCACCTTCTCCACTTTGAGGTCTGCCTTTGCGTCCGTGGAGCCACCCAGATTCAGAGTGTTTGCAAAGAAGCGACGAATCACATCCATTGTGGGGTCTGGAAATCGTAACTGGTTAATAGATGACAGTAAAAACCTTAGCTGTTAGACAACAAACCTTTGCCCTCCTCTTCGTCACTGGATGAAGAATTCGAAGCCGTCGTCGTCGGTTTTTCCGCCTTTTTATCGTTGTCGCCCATGGCTGGAATAATCCTGGACCTCGGTATGTGAAAGTATCTGAAATTTCGTATTATCCTAAGAAATCCCCCCGTTGTTTTGATTATTTGTTGTCTTTTTAGGCAAAAAAGCAAAACACGCCGAGCAACCAGTGCTGAGAACTATCGATAAGAAATGGGAGTCAATGTGATTATCGCCAAGAGCTATAAAATAGCTACTTTTTGGTTGTAACTTTTTTTTGCTAGGGTAATTTTATGCAAATTATAATAAGATTAGAATTCATTAAGTATAACAATAAATAAATTCAAAAATAAAAATTTCCATATTCGCAAAAATTAGTTTTTATGTGAAACCATGATTTTAAATTTATGAAATACATAATAAACTACAGCTAAGAAAGCTAGATTGCCACCACTGGCTGCACAAAATAACCGATAGTTGTTATCGGCCCACCCAGCGATAGGCTTTTTCGCGCCGCCAGCCCTCGTTGGCCGTTGGCCGATTACTCGATGTGCGGCGGGGGTGCAGCTCTGGCCGTTCGCCCAGCCCTGGAAAACCACGCCAGTCATTTTTGTTTTGATAAGGATACGGATACAAAAGAGCGTGGCCTGGAAAAATTGCAGAAACGGCGGAGAAAGCGCCCCAAAACCGAGCGAAAGCGGTGCGAACTGATCGTCGGGCGGTGCGCGACAAACTGGGCGCCCATTCGAGCATCCCCAGTCGCTACGTGGAAGCGTAGGCAGCGTGTGGAGTGGAAGAAGAGGAGGCGAAGAAGAAGCAGCAGTAGCAGAAGTACACAGAAGTGCAACCAGACGGCTAAAATAACAAATCAAAGAGGGCCAAAAAGGAGCGGCAGCGGAGGCGACCAAGACGGGGGCGGGGAATGGCCGAGGGTCGTCGGTGGCTGCCATTGTATAACGCCGATGGGCAGACTGTAGATCCGCGCTAGGAACCCACATCTCGAATACCATGCATCTGAACCATGCGACCGCCGCGACGGCAGCCATGGCCAACTATCAGCACTACCAGCTGCCAGCCTCGCATGGTGGTGGCGGCGGCGGAGGAGGTGGCGGTGGTGGAGCCAATGGTGGATCTGGGCCCGGACCCAATTCCGGGCAGCAGCAGGCCACCACCTTGGCCAGCCTGCAGCAGAGCCCCTTTGCCCTGCACCAGCTGACCGCCGTGCAGGCCATCCAGCATCCCACCCACCAAGCCATGCTCCATCCACAGCACCCGCTGGTCCACCTGCTGGACATCTCCACCACCACGGCGAATAGTGGCGGCGGCGGTGGAGGCAATCACACGCCCATTTCGCCCATGAAACAGGAGGTGCAGAGCGTCATCAGCGAGGAGGAGGTGGTGGTGGACGATCCGCGCAAGAAGAAACAATGCCACGTGTGCAAGAACAAGTTCCGGCAGCTGACCACGTTACGCAACCATATGAAGATCCACACGGACGAGCGGCCCTACAAGTGCAAGCACTGCGACAAGGCCTTTCGCCAGATCTCGACGCTGACCAACCACGTGAAGATCCACACCGGCGAGAAGCCGTTCACCTGCAACATTTGCGCCAAGGACTTTCGCCAGCAGAGCACCTTGATCAATCACATCAAGACGCACAAGGGTGAGTTTGTGATCGCATCTGCAAGGCGGAGCTAACGATTTAACTCGATTCGTTTCCGGGTAACAGCGGCGGAGTCCAGCACGCCGACGTCGCTGCTGAATTATCAGCCGCAGACGGGCAGCGGCAAGCACAGGAAGTCGCAGATGCACCAGGCCTACCAGCAGCAGCATCAGCGCGTCCAAATCTCAAAGACCTTGTACTCCGGCAGCTACAGCTCGCCGGCGGCCGAGGAGCTGGTGAAGCCGTTCCAGTGCAGCGTCTGCAAGCGCCGCTTCCCGCAGCTGAGCACGCTGCATAACCACGAGCGGACCCACATCGATCCCAAGCCGTACAAGTGCGAGACGTGCGACAAGTCCTTCAGTCAGCTAGCGACGCTGGCCAACCACAAGAAGATCCACACGGGCGACAAGCCGTACACGTGTTCCTACTGCCACATGCAGTTCCGCCAGCAGAGCACCCTCACCAACCACCTGAAGACGCACACGCACCAGATCGCTCCCGGGGGCGGGGGTGGAGCAGGAGGCGGCGGAGGAGCCGTCACAGCCACAGGTGAGCCGCTTGTGTGTTCGCCCTACCAATGAGCCGCTTTCTGTTATCACTGTGTGCATTGATTATTAACGCTCTTCCCTAACGAAGCTTTTATTTAAATCTTGTACGCATGCCAATTTCGACAAACCAACCTACAATCAACCCCCTCCTGCAGTGGATCACTCAATGCCCGCACCCCTGGCGCCCGGGACGCAGCAGCTGACGAGTGGGCTGCTGCCAAACAACCTGCACGGCAGCACGCCGAACATCATCCAGCTGGACCACCATCCGCTCCTGCATTTCCTCGATGGCAGTACCACGGTCAGCTCGGTGGTGGCCACGGCGGCGGCCAACACCAAGGTGGAGCATTTCCAGGCGGGCGGGTCACCGCCGGGCCGCATGACCGTGGTGGGCAACATCAACATGCTGAAGGGCGATAATCCGGACCGGCCGTTTGGCTGCAGCGTGTGCCAGCGGTTCTTCTCGCAGCAGAGCACCTTGGTCAATCACATCAAGACGCACACCGGCGAGAAGCCGTACAAGTGCAAGATCTGCGAGGTGAACTTCCGGCAGGTGGCCACGCTCAACAACCACATGAAGATCCACACCGGCGAAAAGCCCTACAACTGTTCCTACTGCCCCAAACAGTTCCGGCAAAAGAGCACGCTGCAGAACCACCTGAGGGTGCACACCTGCTAGACCCACTCCAGAACCAGATCGCGACGCGATCCAGGTACGCAGCCAGCCAGCCAGTCAAGCAGCCATTGAGGAATAGTGCAATATGCATGCCACATAGCACATACACTTATAGATCGCATATACGGCATACGAATACGATTACATGAATACTATATTTGAATATATACTCGAAAGTGTTATTTACCTGCTGTGCAGAGCGCAATTGTATGTAACTATATCGTAGAGAGCTGATCCACATGCGTGTCCAATTGTAAATTAAGGCTAGCCGTATTCGCATAACCCACGAATAATATGATACAGGGTGTTTAAGCCTAAACTCTATACTATCGTAGGATGGGTCGATTTGCGTCGGTGCATAAAAGTTATCTTAAGGCTGTTCTCAGCCATCTATATTTTATATTTTTGAACTTCTATCCTTGCAAAAAAAACATTTTCGAAAGTGTAAATTAAACATTGGTACTGATAAAGATTTGAAAAGCGAGTTACACAATTTGTTTATATTTAATTTAAACGTGACCCAGGTCATTCACCTTTTATATCTGTTATGTTGTGAGATATCTTTTATACAACATTAGTATTTCCTTTACAAGGAACTTGTTTTATGAGAAGCAAACGGTATTCTTTAATTTTGTACGATTAAAATTAATAAATGGTACAGAATGGTTGAGTAGATTTCTTTAGCACCGAATCTTCTTTCTATAACAAATCGATCCACACTAAAACTATGCCCTTCTGCAACTGTTGTAACCCATGCCCCTGACCCTTCCGCGATACCTACCTATTAGTTCCGAGTATCGGCTTCTCTCAGCTTTTCTCGTCGTGTTAAATGTTAAGCCCGCCAGCAAAGTAAAGTAAATTAATTAAAAGTAAAACTAGTTATTGCTATACTGTGTGTAATCCCCGCCCGCTCTAAACTTGCATACGGCATCATCGGAACCGAACCGAACGGAAATCGAAAAAAGCAACTATTTATATAAGTGTACTCTTAGCGCATATTTAGCAGCATCTTCTACTCACATGACTACAAGCGGAGCGAAGGCGATCGCATAAATAATCAATAATACATTTAATGAAAACCGGGTTGCTTCTAGAACAAAATTTAGAAAACGGAGAGACAAGAGTCCCTAAATTAAGTGAATCGATGAGGAGGAATACAAGTAAAACCAGCTATAATTGAATTGACAGAGATCGATCGTAAATGTTGTAGAGAATATATAGGATATATAAAAATATATATAACTACTTGTAAATGTAAGCGAAGCGAAGAGCTGAAACAACAATAAAACATGCAAAACAAAAACATACATTTTAGTGTTTTATAAATTAATGATTAAATACCAAGGTGGGTTATGCAGAAATATCCAGATAACCCCCGCGAATTCTCCGAAGGAAACACTCTTGCTTGATTTGAAAAAGGGGAATTTATTAAGTTTTTATGGTACGCAGGTATTGGGAAAAGGAAAAACAGTTCGTGTATAAGAGATACTAAAAGTAATTACTATAAGCACTTTTCGCATTAAATCTCTAAGGTATGTTGCACTGTCTATAAGTGGTGACTTTAAAGGGCAGAGAGCCTCTCGAGCATTGTTTGTTCATTATTCACCCCTAAATCGTGTCGTTTATTATTAACTTTCTATAAAAGGAAACGAAAAAGCGAACTAGCTAAGTAGTAGCTTCGGTTAAATTGGAATTTTTACGAAATCTGGTGCATCTACTCGTACTTGTGTGTATATTTATATATATATATCCGACATCCTAACCTACCCAGAGGATCTAACTTGAGTAAACAGTTTCCAGGGACAAATGGGAAAAGGACTTGCACATGGACGTTGTCTGCGGGAGAGACTTGAATCGTCGGGACTTATAAACGACAAACACTTAATCCTAGTTCGTGATTAGACTTTCTCACAACGGATGTTCTGGCCACGCGCCTCGGTCGGGGTTAAATCTCTGGCAGCGTGCGAAGGCATTTGAGTAGGACCAAATGTACAATTCAGTAAAGCAAATACGTTGTCTGTACTCTAGGGTGTATATATATGTTATCTATAGGTTGACCAAAACTTTTCATAATCCTAAACGAAATGACACCAACAACGACTCCGCCACTCTACTTGAACAGCCATCGCAGGATCAGGCTGACCATTAGCCCGATGAAGGCGTAGACTAGCGACTTGATCACCGTAGACTGTGAAACGCCGCCGCCCAGCAAGTGATGCGACTGCACGCCCATGTTGCTCGGCGAGGGCGCATACTGCATACGCTCCAGGCGCTGGCTGATCTCGTTCAGCTGACGGGTGTGCAGCTCCAGCACCCGGTTCACCTGGTCTACGGCCAAAGCGAGTCTGAAATGGGGAAAGTGCCCATTATGAATAACCTTACTCCCAAGGGAAACTAAGTTCAAGGATCTACTTACTGCTTGATCGCACTGGAGGAACTGCGCTTGACCGCTCCTTGGGGCGACAGGCTGGAGTCCGAGTTGGTGTCACGCGGCGCCAGCACCAGACTCTTGTTCTTAGCCTTGGGCACTATTGAGCCGCCCTTCTGCGTGGCCTGTCCGGCCGGCGATTGTCTTTGGGTTCGAGATAACGTCTCGATAGAGCTGCGCAGGGGATGGATCATCTCAGCCCCGTGGACAATGGGCACCGACTTGTGTCGCGTCTGGGTGAGCACCTTAAACTGGCACTCGTACTGACGGACATCGTTGCGCGAGTCCCAGGGCCGCAGATCGGCATACTTGTACAGCCACTGGCCGTAGCTGTCCACCTCGAAGAGCTCGGGCATATGGGTGGACTCGGTGCTAAGCCGCTCCTTGGCATCCGCCCGCTGGCGCTCTTCCAGCACGGTCTTCTCCTCGGTGGCGGCCACCTGATCCTCGCGGGCAATCGCCTCGGAGACCTTCTGCCACAGGCGTTGCGACTCGTTCGGCTCCTGCAACTCCAGCGGAACCATGTGTCGCGTCAGACGCTTAGATCGAGTCTCGGCATCCACCTTGAACAGCAGCGTCTCCTCGCCTGTCTTGGAGTCCTTCACCCGGCACTCCTTGTCCCAGTGACCACTGATGGTGGCCAGCGTCTCCTTGCCCAGCTTGATTTTGCCCACAACGACATTTGTGGCATCCGCACCGCCGAGGAACGGCTTCAGCTTGAATTCCAGCTCCGTCCTGTAACCGGTGTTCTCACACTCGATGTTTATCTTGCCCCCAGCTCCATGGAGAGCGTGCCCATCAGGATGCCCTTGCAGTGGGCGTACGGCGAGGTCGCCGTATAGCACTCACCGCGCGGCAGCAACGTCATCGTGGCGGCGCCCTCGAGCACCGCCGAAGTGCTGTTGCCGTAGAACTTCGATTTCGCCAGGATGGAGCAGGTGATGCTGAAGCCGTCCTCGCGATTTGTCACATAGAAGGCCGAAACGGGCGGATGGTGCGAGACCTGCTCGGCAATGTAGAAGGTTCGGCTGCCGCTGGGATGCTGCCAGTAGCAACGGAACCGTTCGCCCAGAATCGGGTTATAGGGCTTCTTCAGGCCCTTGGGCTTCTTGTAAAAGCTTGACAGGTACCATTGTACAACTAGCTTCATGCGTGTGAAGGCATCATCCTCCTGCACGGCCCTGGATCGAAAGAGGTTTACTAATATATTGTAAAGAAAAGTGATGGGTAAACCCACTTGGAGAGCAAGTCCGCGTGGTAATACGAGTCGGATAGCTTGTCCAGGAATGATCGCGGCTCCAGGATAAACGTGGGCAGCACCACCTTGCTCAGATCCATCCCCGGTCGCACCTGCTTGACAATGCACCAAATTAGGCTCTTGTTCTCCTCTGCCAACTCCTCTACCTGCTCCCCTTGCTGCAGATTAAATAAGTTAACTATTAGTTGGTTAACAATTGGAATATCGGATAGCTCACCTCGCCAAACTCCTCCTCGGTGAAGGGCACATACGAGGTCTCCTCACACTGCTGCTCGACGCCATCCTCCTGCGCCGGCTCTGCAGGATCCGACTCCGATTCCGACTCCAGGCCAGACATGACGGCATTGGGTGCTTCATTCTGGCTGTCTGCGTCCAGATCTGAAAATACACATCCAAACAGATGAGATGGGATTGTTTAAGAATTCTAATAGTCACCGACATTTCTCTAGCAGCCTGAGTCTGGCGAAATACAGGTGAAATATATCCACCTTTCGCCTGGGCACAAAAGCAGAATACTGTGAGGAATATCTAGCGCTAATTTTGACCATATGCGAGCAAATTGTTGTTGAAAAACGTTGGGATATTGGCTCCCAATGCCAGGCGGTGAGCATACAAAACACGAATTTTGAACATGTATATCGACTGCTACTGATGATGACTATTTAGCTTAGGGGGGAAACCCAATTGAAAGAAATATTTTAAGTCACACTTTGAGAATGTTTTGAACTTTTTGAGGTGACGTATTCTTTTGTTATTTCAATTAATCAAAAACTTCTAAATGTTTTAAAATAACACATTCGTCTTGTGTACTTCCGTACTTATAAATGACTTATAAGAATTAATAAACATTTTTCTATTAAAAATATAATCAGAATGCATCAAATAAATATATAAAGAAATTTAAAGTATAAAAAAACAAATCTATTAAATCATCACTTTAGACTAAGGTGTTTTCGATGTTTTTTTCAATTTTTTTAGATTAAGTAGTACAGAAATCTAAAATATCTCATACAAATTACTACTACATTTAAATCCTCAGTTTCGATTAGTCTGAATATTTTTCCATTGAGAAAGTCAAGTATTTATATCAAAAGTTTTCTTTTAACAACTTTAAATAGGTGGACAATCTAAATTACATTATTAAAATGTCATTTAAGCCCGTCATTTATAATCGTAAAGTATTATAAATAAGTATTGGATATCTTTTTCAAACAAAATCAAAGTGCAATTCCTCTTTCAATGTGATCTTCCCCCTAGATGATATCCAACCAACTAAAACGACGGCAAAGAGGGGGCGTTATCACCCTTGACGTTCAGACGAAAGCGCGGAATCACTAGACAATCTGGCGGAGCGCTGAGGGGCCGCAAGCCCGTCTGGCTGCGATTATAGTCCCCATCGTCGTCATCCTCGCTGGAGCTGCTGTTGCACAGGGTGGCCCCCAGCGACATGGACTTGCTCATGGGGCTCAGGTGGCGCCGCTTTCGCTGAACCATGTCCATGCCCTGCTCCACACTGGAGGCATCGCTGTACGAGGTCTTGCGCTGCTCCAATTGGTGGCCAAAACGCGGCAGGCGCTTGGTGCGCTCCCAGTTGCTAACGGCGCTGCTGTAGAGCTGCTGCAGCAGCGGAGTGGGTGCCCGCGAGGCGGACAGGCTGGTGTCGGAGCGCGAGGTATCCGCCTCGGCCGAAGGCAGTGCCAGGAACTGCCCCCACTTACCGTGATCGTTGAAGTGCTTCTCGTAGTCCGCCTCCGACCACTGCGTCTCATGGGAGACGGGCAGCGGTTCGCCCACATAGCTGGAGGAGGGAGCAGCGCCCGTGCTGCTATTGGAGCGCAGCAAGAGGGCCGAACATCTCAGGGACAGCTCCAGGGCGTCCATCCAGCATTTGCCCGCCGCCTGGCTGGGAGCTCGGAAGATCAGGTAAGCGGTTGGCAACGGCTGGACAACGGCACCTTGAAAGAGAGTTTAATTAGTAATTGTTAGTTAAGTCTTTAAATAATTAAAGAAAGTCATTATAATAATAGATAACTTTTCATATATGAAAAATACTACAACTCCATATAAAGTTTCGGTATTATGAAGATCATCTTCAAACCAGTGTTGTAAGCTACAATTAAATGTATTTAAGGTGGAGCTGAGTAAGCTGAAAGAAGTATTAAATCTTTATAGTAATGGACTGCTTTTAATATATGAAAAATACTTCAACTTGTATACTGTGTTCGGGTATAATGAAGATCATCTTTAAACCAGTTTTGTAAGCCACAATTAAATTAACTAAACGCGGAGCTCAGTAACCGTACTTGATTTTCCGTTGCACAACATGTTTTATATTATAAATCAAGCTTTAAACTTTCATTTCTTGATTTTGAAAAGAGGTAAAGTATTAAATTACCAATGGTTTCCTTGTCGGGTCCTCGGGGGGCCCAAATGGACTGCTCCAGAGGATGGAATAGCTTGAAGCAGAAGCCATCCTTTTTGCTGGGCCGCTCGATTACCTGGCAGGAGGTGAGCATTACCGTGCCCACCCAGTGACTGCTCTTGGTCTTTTGGCTCTTGTAGATAAGCAGTAGGCCAGGCTTAAGCACACACCAAAGTTTTGTCCAGGACTTGAGGGTTCC